AATTACCAGAATTCAATTTTACTGAATTTTAACCGAAAATGTTCAGTAGTGTGGACATAAAGAAGAACTTCTTTTTAACATCTTCTCATAGCACATGACAAGAAAAACAAAGTTTTCCTTTTCTGAAAGAAGCAGAGAAATAGAAAGCAAGACTTATTTTAATGTAATGTTGAAAATTTTCCAAAAGTATTTTTCAAAGACAGAGATGACATCTCCATAAAGTACGCAGACACTGCAAAGTAATAAGAAATAGTAACTATATTAAAGCAGACACGTATAATGGACTTACATGAAGACTGTCAATATCATTTTTGCACATTGCATTTCACTAATAGTTGACAACAAGTAGTCAATTCTCTGGAGAAGGACATAAACCCCTTTTGTCCCTGCTGAATTTCTGTAATGTATTGCTTTACAAAAACATTTGATAGACAGAATTTCCATGAAGCGCACTGTCTTAGGTTTAAAAATAAATCCTCTAGGTAATCTTGAAGGCTTCTTCCTGAAACGATTGTACTTAGTTACTTAGGTCTGATGATTAATTTAAACAAAGTCTTGTTGTTTTATAAATCCGCGTCCTAAAGAATCCACAATTTAGCTGAACCTTTAATCTACAATACAATATTCTCTATTTAACGAAGGTGACGTAATTAACCCGACGAGTTATCTAAGTTACGGCCTTCACAACAAACCCACCATCCCACCCCAGGGGAGGACATCCATCACGCAGTAATCTCGTGTGTGGGAAATTAACGTCTCCTACCCCAACCCTGCAGGAGACGGGACCTCCATTTATTCGTCCCTATCCGAGAAGACTAGAATATCTAACCATCTCTTGATGTTATAGAAAGGCAGCATATTCTTCTTCTCAATTATTTTAAGACCTTGAGTGTTGGTCCGGCCGGTTCCGTCGTTTGGTTGTCTGGTTGTTCTTTCAGTCGGTCCTTCTGTAGTTGGGACGATCAGTTAGTCGCTTAGTCAGTTAGTCAGTAGGTAGGCTAGTTATTCAATGAAGAATTGCACAAAAGAATCAGCTATTCATTAGTAAGAGCACAGGACTGCCTATAGATAGTCCATAAAGTTTTTTCGATCATGTATGCTCTTCGTAACATTAACCTCTTTGCTTTTGATCATTTATAGGCGAGACTTTATCACTTGTGATATCTAACAGTACCTTTTCTGACAATTTTAAGTCTGGTATTACCGTTGACAACTTGATTGGTAACTCTCGAGTCTCGCAGACAAAGGTGACAGGAAACAATTATTATGGACTCTATGCCAGCAACACACAAGGAAAAATATCTGTTGTAGCCTCCGTGTTTCTGCGTAACAAATATAACGGCGTTAACATAACCAAGATGACAGGTACTTTAGAATTAATTAACGTCAATTCCTCGAAAAACCAAGCGTCAGGAATCGTTATCGATGTTGGAACTCTATCATTCCAAATGTCTGACAGCTTTGTCGAAGAAAATGCCGGTCAAGGATTACACATTGTAAACCAGGTCAACTCCACAATCAATATTAACGGCACGCAGTTTATTCGTAACAGTAATGGTGAAGGGGTACATTTACAGGCACTTCGCTATTGCCAAGCTCTACTCGCGGAAGTATTGTCTCTTGGAAATTCGCAAAATGGGGCTTTGTTAGCAAGATTATCCGATACCAGATTAAATGTCAGCTCTTGTAAATTTGATGGAAACTCAGAAACAGGAGTCCACGTTGACTACTTTCTCAGAGGAGGGCTTAACTTAGAGAATGTTTCTACATCAAACAATAACAGATATGGTTACATTTTCCATTTTGGGGATACCAGCATAAACATA